CTTGTACAGATTTCGGTGTTGGTCCTAGCGGCGCATAAAGGAGATTTCTCGGATCAGTTCTATTCAGGAGACTTGAGGTAGAGCTGCATGTCATTCGCAGTCCCTAAAGTCCCCTTCCTTATCTTATTTTACTATTTATGTAAGGTCCCATCAAATTTTGCCAAGAATTTGAGGTTTTGTGGTGGTGAGGTGGGCTAATGTGTTTTGAAGACTTTTTGGGTTGTGCAAAACATTGTGGAGTTGGTGGAAATTTTGCAGAAAAATGGCAACTCTGCGGTCCATTTCGCGACCGTAGATCTGTTTCGCTGGCCGCATAACCGTCGCAGATTGAAAAAGAAAAAGCTTAATTTTGGAGGTCATTTTGTGATCCAATATGCGACCGTATAACTGTTCGCAGGTCGCACATCCATCGCATTTCAGCAAGGAAAACTTTTGGGAGGAGATTCTGCGGTCCAATATGCGACAGCAAAATTGATCCACGGATCGCAGAATCGACCGCATATTTGATTAGGCCAGACCAATTTTGGAAAACCATTTCGCGGTCCACTTCACGGACCGCATACCTGTTTCGCAGTCTAATCTGCGATCGTAGAACCGGCACAGAGGTTGGAAATTTGGGAAATTTTACCCAACCCTATTCTAATAAAAAGACATAAGGGTGTCGTTTTGAAGCAAAAGTTTGATATTAGAGAGAGAGAGAGAGAGAGAGAGAGAGAGAGAGAGAGAGGAAAGGAGCTAGAGAGAGAAGGAGAAGCACTAACATCTCCACACTTCAATTTCTTGCTCAAGCCTTGGAAATTCAATAAGGAAAGCTTGCAAGGTCTTCTACAAAGAGGTAAGGTCTTCCCCCAGCTCTCAATTTCGAATTTGGGGTTGAATGTGAGGAGTGTGAGGCATGATTCTTGGGTTAGGAGTTAGTCATTTGTGCATGCATGTGCCAATGATGATGGTATGGAAGTTGTTGAACTAATGTGGGTGAATTATTAACTTGGGGATTGGTTGTGGGATGAAGGATTTCCATCATAGAACTTTGTAGTCAATTTTGTGTAATTGATGGTTGCAGAAATGCCTAAATGAGCTAAACCTATGGGCACCTTCCTAATTATTGTTAAATTTGGTGATGTTACTATAGATTGAAGTTGCTAAGAGTAGGAAAAACGTTGTAGTAATTCTAAGGAAAAGCTCAATCGAGGTATGTTGGCTAAACTTCTTCCATAGAATCGAATTTCACAGATTTCTTGTAAATTTTGATTATGGTTTGATAAAGTTCCTATTTACATCATTCCAAATCTACTTCTATGGTTAGTTTATCCAAAGGCTTATGATTTTAAATTCATGTTTCAAAATGCAAATCACTATGCTTTTCCTTGAACTTAGTTCCAATGTGTTTGAGCTCTTGCATACTTATGAGTTGAAGCTGTAAATTTCCCAATATTTCAAATGTATTTAAATGTTTTATAATAATTCGTGGCAAGTAAAGAAATTAGAGTATGAAATGTGAAATACGGTCATCGGGCCAAGAATAATGATTTACATATGTGGCCAAAAGTGCCAATGATATGAAAGGAAATATGAAAGGCTATGAAACAAATATGATTCTTTTATATGATAAATATTTTTGGGAGTATCGTTAGGTTACCGAGGAAGGTTGGGTTATAATTGCCCAAGCCCGGAACTACACGTGCCGGTGTAGGAGTGATTGAGGGGTGAATCCCCATTATATTATATTGAGATTGTTCCCCTTGATTGGGATGAGTTGATAGCTAGCGAGAACCATGTCGACCCACACAATATTGTGGTGAGACGGCTTAGACAATCGGGCGGAGATCGGATGCCATGCCGTCCACATGGTAGTATTGCGTTGTTGTGTCAACCCTCATGAATTGGGTGAGATAGCTTAGCCGATGAGGCAGGAATCAGACTCCATGCCATATGCATGAACTTGTAATCTTTTGGTAAATATCAATGAAACCCCTACAAGTAATGAAACTTGGTACTTTACATTTTATCCTCTCACGTCTATCTCTTGTCATTGATTCTTAAATTATTCATGGGTAAGGTTGGGTAGAAGACATCAAGTAGGCTTTCTTGACTGGTATCTCGGTTAGGCACAACTCGCGCTCCCCAAGGTCGGGGCATGACAGTTTATCTTATTTCAAACAATTGTATTTCATTTCAGACTATATTTGCAGTATTCTAGTCGCTCATGTACTTGTGACTCCAAATTTTTGGGATTAGTATTGACAACGTTATTTATGAAATTATTTCATGTATTTCATAGTACTTCAGCCTTTTATTATTAATATTATGCTTTTAAAATGGTTGAACCGGTCAATTCTTTAACTAATGTCGGCTTGCCTAGCAAGTGGATGTTAGGCACCGATTAGTTGGAATTTTGGGTCGTGACATTATTAATACGAAAATACAAGTCTGTACAAAAATACCCCTATCTAAAAATACGGAACAACTCCAAGAACAACTACTGAACTTTGAATATTTGTAAGTTTAAAATCTAGGAATTGTTCCTGGAGTTTGAATGACCTAAAGTAGTAGCTCTCAATTATTGAAGTATAATATGAATTAAAAAATCAGGAATCGTTCATGAATTTTTCTGAATTTTACACTAGTAAAGGTTCAAAAATTAGTAATTTTTTTAATGGATTTTGTATTTGAAGGTTACAAATCGAGAAGTATAATGTGAATTCAAAAATCATGAATCGCTCCATGATTTTTTCTGAATTTTGCACTAGTAAAGGTTCGAATACCAGTAATTTTCCTGAATTTTGTATTTGAAGGTTAAAACTTGCTGAAGTACAATGTGAATTAAACAACCCTGAATTGATCTTGAATTTTATTGGATTTTGCAGCAGTAAAGGTTCGAAAACCAATAATTTTTCCTGAATTTGTATTTACAGCTTGTTTGGATTGTTGTTACATGTCGTTTCATAATGTAATCGTATTGTATTGTAATGCATTGTATTGTATTGTTTGTAGAATATAACGTTTGGATAGATTGTATCGTTTGTCATCGTTTCATGATGTCACGCACCAGCAATAATTTGCAACATTACGAAGAAAAAATAGGACACATAGTAGAATTATTATATAAGAAAGTAGGATAAAGGACAAAATAAAATTATTTAATAATAAGAAAGGGTAAGATGAGAGAAAAAAGTAAGGTAACAACGCCATCACATCAAATCCGTCGTTACATAAAGTGTCACTTTTTGTCGTTACATAACGGTGTATTTAACGATATAATACAATAAAATTTAAGTAACAATCAAAATAAATATTGTATTTAAAGTAACAACGCGATATAATACAATAGATAACAACCATCCAAACAAGCTGTTATAGGTTAAAAATTGCTGAAGTATAATGTAATTCAAATATCATGAATCATTACTGAATTTTCTTGGATTTTGCACTAGTAAAAGTTAAAAAATCAAGAACTGTTCATGAAATTTGTATTTTGTCTTAGGAAATGTTCAATTCGAACTCCAGTATCGATTACTGGAGTTCTGTTCCATATTTTAGTTAGAGGCAAATACGTCAATTTAATCGTATCAATGGCTACTTTGTTATTATAATTTAAAATAGGAAATTTTACATGTTATAGTTAAACAATGCACCCTATTTATTATAAACCAAAATACTTTAAAATATTATTATTTATAGCCACTTTTTATATTTTATAGTAAAGTACAAATATATACAACTGATCCCTCAACTTTCCCCTCAACCCTTTCTTTTCTCCATCAACTCTCTCTCCATTTTCCCTCTCTCGGCAAGGTCGCCGTCCAGATCTCGCGACTTTAGATCCAGATCCAGGAAGTGGGTGGCGACTTCGTGATTTCACATCTGGTAGTGCGTGGTGATGGGCCTGATTCGATGGTTGTGATTTGCGGATACGACGGAGAGTGGTGATGTGTGGAGACGAAGGAGGGTGGTGATTTGCTAGAAACAACACATTGGAATTGTCTTCTTCGAGACGTGGGCAACAAGTCAGATGCACTTGCTTTTTGAATCTTGACCCTCTAACCCTTGCCCTGTTTTCTTCTTTATAATCGTGACTAGATTTTACAATGCAGAGATTCGTATCCCACAGAGCCAGAAATCTCATCACCAGTAATGTAACCAGAACCATAACTACTTCTATATTTCCTCCTCCTCCTCTTACTTGCCCTGCTACGCTTTATTTCTTATCCACTCTTCGGCCTTTTCTCCGGTGAACTTTCTTCTCTTATTTGCTATTGAATCACATATAATAATACAAATACATTGTATTCTGTACAAATACACTCAAATTTGAGTGTTTTATGTATTTTTTAATGCAAATAATTCTTTTTTATGTATTCCGAAGGTTATTTTTTATGGCAGATCCCTGTATTGTTTTTGAATTTTTGTTGTCTGAGTACAACCGAATTAAATACAGTAAATTAAATATAGTGTAGAAGCAACTACGAATGAATATAGTGAATTGAATACAGTTGAATATCAATATTTTTGTGATTTTTTATTGTTTGAATACAGTCGAATTAAATATAGTGAAATTGAATACAATGTAAAATAGTGAAGAATGAATATAGCCGAATTTGAATACAACATATACAGACGAATTGAATTGAATAGAGCAGTATACACCTCATTTCTTGATTTTTTGTTGTTTGAATACAACTGAATTCAATACAGTTAAAATTGAATACAATATAAAATATATAAGAACGAATACATCTGAATTGAATACAGCATAAATCACATAGCAAATAATTAGTAGCTACGGAATGTATTTAGCTAAATTATAGCCACGTCATCAATAAGCCGCCAAATAATAATAATTTCCGAAAGTTTCCCCTAGCGGTCCCAAAAAGTGACCACCCAAGATGGGACACCTAATAACGAGCAAAGAACTTGTTGACCCATAACTAATCAAGCAACTGGGCGACCCGGGTCGTATCAGGAAAGTTCTTTGCTTCGAAAAGAAAAAAAATCAATTTTACGCGTTCGGATTAAATTAAAAGAACTTTCCAATTCTACACGAATTTACTCTCTCTCCTCCGTTGAAAACTCATAAAAGTTAAAAAAAAAAAAACATTCTTTTGTCAATATTAAACGGAGAAGAAGATGTAGTAAGAATAAAAAAGGGAAATTCCGATACGATTACCAAATCCAAACTCTGGATAATCTATAAATTCGCTTTCAATTTTTTTATTCACATTTCCAGAAAATTGGGAATCCCCTTATTGTCAATTTTGCTGTAAATTTGTGTGGAATATATTACCAAATCTGTTTGGCCCTAGCTTTCTGGTTTCTTCTACTGGTAAGCAATTGCTTTTCTTAAATTTCTGGTTTTATCATCTGTTTGGATATTTGAAAATCAGTTTCTTATGAATTTGGATATTGAAATTGGGATAGATTTGATTTATAGATAAGCTTATACACTGTTTTGTTGATAAAATATGGTTATGCCTTAGGTGTTTTGATAATCTTAGCATGACGAATTGTCTAGATTGGACTTTGTACTTCCTACGTCCCATTTTCCATTTTATGAGATGTTCTTTGACTAGGCACTAAGTTTAATAAAGAATAAAAAATATTTTGAACCTGTGATGTAAGATAAGTTATAAATATTTGTTTAGCTATAAAATAATCATCTCATTAAGTATAAATTGGGAAGTTTAAAGTTAAATTGTTCATAAGTATAGACAGGTACATTCAGACTACAAAGGAAAGTGCATAACATAAAGTGGGACAAAGGGAGTATTATTCTTTGAAGACCAAAGTATTGAAGAATTGTTGATTCAATATGAGGACAGTGCTTGATATATTAGGCATTGGTTGAAGAGAAGTAATTAAAAAATGTTACATATTTGATCTGTTCTGTCCATGAATTTTGTTTTGATTTTTGTAAAACTTAGAGTCAAAACATTAGTTTTATGGTGTAGGATTGATATGCATATTTGGTTTTTGATTTTGGTAATGGTGCAGCTATGCAGAGTCAGTTGGTGTGCAGTGGGTGTAGGACAATTCTTCTTTATCCGAGAGGAGCTACTAATGTCTGCTGTGCAGTGTGCAATGCCCTCACCCCTGTCCCACCTCCTGGTATCTGTCTTTTCTTGCTCTATTATCAGTGCCGTGTGATAAGAACATGCATCACCAGTTTATTTGGCACTTCTTTGATACTATTTCTGTCTAGCCAATGGTGAATAAAAGGGAAAAGAAGAAGAAATAGTAATAGAAGAAGAAATGGTAATATCTTGAAACTATAAGTTCATCTTTTGGAATTTGGTTAACTGCTCTATTGGGAGCTGACACGCACGACTGCACATAGATTAAGTTGGTAGTGGAATCCCCTCCTCTTTCCCCCCCTCCCACCACCCAAAAAAAAAAGAAAAGAAAAAAGAAGAGAGCGTGTTACGAGTTCAAGATAATGCCTATTCCAGCAGAATGGTAGTCAAAATATTTAAGGACTTGGAACTTAATTTCATTATGGTTTTTCTAAGAGGAAATAAATATGGACTTTATTACGACATAAAACTCGTCCTTACAAGTGTTTTTTAGATACGATATATCGAGCTTCTAGTTGAAATGGATTAGTGATCAGCTGTAGACATATGGTAGTCAGTGATCAACTAAAATTTTGCTTTTGTAAGATAGGAAAGTTGTTCCATCACAAATTTGGTCCCAAAGTGCAAGAAGTAACTTGCTTAATAAATACTAACCCGAAAGCAAGAAATCTAATATGCTAAGAAATCTGATAGTCATTTTCAAACATAAAGAAAAGTGCATAAGCTAAAGAATTGAGCTAGACCCCTTGGTTAAACACTTATTTCCCGACAGTGTCTGATAAAGGGTAATGGAGCTGACAAATGCATCTTTTCTCTTTCTTGAGTTCTACATCAAACAAGTGGAAGAAGAAGAATTTGAACTTATGTGAAGAAGCTTCAATAGATTTACAGTCAGCACCACTCGGCCACTCTTTCCTTCGGGATAAGGTCCACATCATGGGTTCTAATGTGAAGAAGGGACCAACATCTTGTTCCAATCAAAGCTTATTGACTTAATTGAATGGAATTTAGACGATTAGCTTTGCTAGTGTTTTAAGAGAATCTAAGTGGATTTCTTATAATCGAGAAATCTCTGGTGAGTTTGCTGGCCCAACCTCAGTTAGTCCACAGGTTCAGTGCTTTGGGGTGTATGATTTGCCCCTCTGCTTTGCTCCCACTTAACTGCTAGACTCTTTGTCGACGAGGCAAGGGAGCGACTTGTGTGGTCTTGTGTGCAGTCTTTCCATTACAAGAATGAAATGACCCTAGAGCTTGACTCGGCTGAAGACTCTTTACAACTTGCACCTATAGCGGCATTGAGTGGCTGAAAATTGATCGAAAATGCAGGCCCGACCAACTTCCCATCCCATAACAGCCTATCTAATCGTATTCATAGTTCGATTGGAGGTCAAAACTGCGGTTAGAGTGAGGCCGAACTCGTGACGTGCTCCATATCCATTCATTCCAAGTGTGTCATTATCACTGAACCAAAGCCCTGGGGGGGCAGGAGAATCTAACAAAAAGTATGAAAGTGTTTGTCAAGTGTTAAACTTCTTTCTAGGGAAAGTGAGTGGAACACAAAAGTTTTGCTAACATATTTGCATAAGAGCTGGGAAATCAACTGATAGCAAAACATATTACCTACAAAGGCTCTGCATTGGAGACTGGGGTATGAATTTTGGGCTCTTAAGAGCAGTGGCAAGTATTGATGGGAGAAGTAAATCAAGAGATAATTGGAAAAGCTAGTTTTTTCTGATCTGCGCAAGAGGTAACTCTAGGTGTTTTTATTCTTGGCTGATGATGTTGGTGTAAACCTTTTTGGTTTTTGATGTTAGCTTGGTTATGTTTTTTTTTTTGATGAAATAAGTTGGATGTCATTAACAAGAAGCATCCAGAGGATGCATAGGTAAGAAAGGGAATTATCAGCCCGATGACAAAAAAGCTATTGTAATACTAAGGCGCTGATAAATTCCAAATAAGACTCAGGGTTATAAGGTAGAATTAACCTAGCTAAAAAGATTAACTAAACATTTGGCCTTGAGTGCATGGTTGGCAGTTGAAATGCCATCAAAATATCTTTGATTCCTTTCTGTCCATATACACCACAAAATACAAGCAGGAATCATAGATCATATCTTTTTGATGGACTTCCCAACTCTCCAGGCATTCCAACTCAAGAAAGCCTCCCTGACATTGCATGGCATAGTCCAGTGCAGTCCAAAAAGTGACAAAAACATGTCCCATATACTTGTTGCAACTCGGCAATGAAGAAACATGTGACTAATTGTCTTTCAGTTGCAAAGGCACCTGATGAGATTGTCCTGAGTTAAGCATGCTCCTTTGGTTATGTTCTTTGTTTCAGCTTTTGGCAATTGTGCTAGTACATCTTTGGAACTTGCAGAATATCATTTTCTTGTATCTTGTAACTAAAAGAAGCTTACGATGGATTTTTAGCCAAACAAATGCTAAATATTTTAGGACTTCTATAATAATTTGACTCTAAAGACAAGTATGAAGTCAGAAATGCTTTGCCCCTAAAGATGTTAGTCATATTGTTTTGACCAGCAACTTTTGAGAAAGACAGAATGCCTACATTTAAACCAGTTCAACGAACCATGCCTCAAATTTCATCCATGTACATTCTTTATTACTTCTATGAAAATTATTGACTGTGAAACAACTCTAGGCGCTAATTCCCTTTTTTTTTTCCAAGAAAAGGTGAGTAGACTTAAGGTTCTAATTACGTTAGTGTATCACAACATTTCTACCGCCATTTTCAGATAGGGAATTTATATTCTACCCTATTCTATTTGAACACGGTTCAAAGCTTCAGTTATTTCCAATGAGATGTTGTTTCTTCCTGTTCATTTTTCCGGATCGATGATCCAAACTGTTTATTTTCTAAAAACGATTTATGCTTATTTTGAGACCC